GTCAGACATTAAAGAATTAAAACATTCAAAGAAACCATATATACAACGCAATCAAAAAGTCACAGCGCATACCTTGGCAAGGGTGCAGGCTCAGAAGAGGCCTAAGAAGACCTTAAGTTTACCCCTCTGGTGGACCTCCAGCACAGAGATGCCCTACAAGGATAATTAAAAAGATTTTTTAAAGCCATTTTTAAAAATTGAAGTATAGTTGATTTACAATGCTCTGTTCGGATATACAGCAAAATGACTCAGATCTACCTGTCCTTTTTCAGACTCTTTTCCGTTATAGATTATTTCTGTTGAATGTAGTTCCCTGTGGTATTGTTCATCTGTTTTATACACAGTGGCCCCCACACATGACATCATACATGGGCTGTTTGGAAAATTCGGTTTTACTGAGAAATGCAGATCTCCCAAACCTGGAGGTCTGTCATCATCCGCTACCAAAGTGCCATGTGCTGCACTGCTGATCCCATCAGAGAAGCCTGTCAGTGCTGGGATGCAGTCGGTCCCACGGTAGATGCAGGCATTTCAAATTACCATTTTTCCTTCAAAGTTCAGATTTCAGGATTGGCAACACATTCTTTCAGTTGCTTCCCTTGAAGTCAGAGATTTGCTTCAGTAATTTTAAAGAAAATGTCTACGCCACACCCGAATGTGAATGTCCATGGTTCATTCATCATTCCTTTAAGTAAAAATGGTGTTTCAAAAAAAAAAAAAATGTTCTGGCTCAGCTCACAACAATGTCCTGGGTGCCCTTCCCCAGAGCAGTCATCGCATGTCGGAGTAGAAGGGCTTTATGCGTGTGGCCCATTTTGTCACATAGGATATTAGGGTCAGGGACTCAGTGTTGAGACTTAATAGAATGTATAATTTTTAATGGTTTATTCATGATATTCTTAAATGATGTGGGCACAGTTTAACTTACCATTGCTTCTGTGCAGTGCAGATGTCTGCAAAGTGGAAAAGGCAAGTGATGTCTTAATTTCACTCTGAAAATAGTTTTGATGTAACATCCCAGGAGCCGAACGCTCAGTGACCCTGCTGTCCAGCCGGCGGTAACTGAGGGCCTGGCAGATGCTTTAACCCAAAGGGGCAGCTCCAGCCCCCCAGCCTCCCTGCGCCTCCCCATTCACCCTCGTCCCAACGCTGGCACCAAAGAGGCTGGCAGGGGAGACCCAGGGGCTCTGCCTGACGCCCTCCTTGTCCTCGTACATTAGGCTCTAATGCAGTTACGACTCCTTTTCGAAAAATACTTGTCTACTTATTTGGCTGCACGGGGTCTTGGCTGCAGCGCGAGGGAGCTAGCTCCCTGACCAGCGTCCAGCATGGGATCCCTGCACTGGAGCCTGAGGTCTCAGCCACTGGGCCACCAGGGAAGCCCGGCGACTCCTCTATGGTTCCAGTTTCCCTAGGTCCAGGGCTGCCTCGGAGTTCATGCCCCTGGGGAGGCCGGCCGGGCTCTCTCTGCCTGGAGGGCGGAGGAGGCTGGAGTCCAGCGAGCAGCCTGGAGCCACACTTCTCTTGGCCCCATGGGGTCATGGCTGGAAACAGGTCCTGCATGAATGGCCTCACATGCTGCCAGCTCTCTGCCCAGACCCACAGCTAGCAGCCCTCCGTGGGGACGCAGTCTAAGGACCCTACCTTTAGTTTATACCCTACACTCAGCCCTGTTCCCCCAGTCCAGCCCTGGGGCCAGGGAGAGTTGGCCTGGACTAGGTCCTGCCCCCAGCCTGGACTCCCTCTGGCCTCACCCTTTTCTGTTTCTAGGCCTTGCCAGGGCTCTGAGTAGCTCAGCTTCCAGGCTTCCCCAGGCGGGGGACGCATGGACACCCCTGGTCCGAGCCGTGGCCTCCTCTGGGGACCCTGTGCTGGCTGCCTCCAGCTGTGACCTTCTCCTCTCTCTGTCTCAGTCCGTGGCTGTTATTCTTTTCTTTAAAAGAAATGTTTATTTATTGGCTGTTCTGGGTCTTCTATGCTCAGTTCAGTTCAGTTCAGTCCCTCAGTTGTGTCCGAGTCTGTGAGACCCCATGGACCGCAGCCCGCCAGGCCTCCCTGTCCATCACCAACTCCTGGAGTTTACTCAAACCCATGTCCATTGAGTCGGTGATGCCATCCAACCATCTCATCCTCTGTCGTCCCCTTCTCCTCCCNGCAAAGAGTTGGACACGACTGAGCGACTAACACTTCATTTCACTTCACTTCACTGGCCACCTAACCCCTGTCTGCCAAGGCACAGGTGTTATTGATCCTTTCCTTCTAGAAAGCGTCTGTGCATGTAATAAGCAGACTCCTCCCCTTGCACTGAACCAAGAGAAGCTTGCTATTCTCACAGCTCTGAACCTGCCTGTGTTTCTTCTTAACTCTGGATCTCAGGGATTATTTCATGTGAGTGCGTGCTTAAGAGTTATCGCAACACTTGCAAGGACTGCACCCATGACATAAATTACAAATGGACACAGTGTTTTGAATCTGTTCCGCTTGTATAGGACATGTAAGATGTTTCTGGCGTTTTTCTGTTACAAGCAGGACTTCAGTGAAATACGCATAAACGTGTGACAGCATGGGATCAAGTTACGGGAACAGAGCTCTGAGGTTCTCGGCATGTCTTCTGCATTTACAGAAACGACACAGACAAAGGAAGTGCTACTGAGATAAACCCAGTGATGGTTCGTAGCAAGTGATCTGTGTTGAGGAAGCTTAACTATCAAAATCATGGACTCATATAATTATTAAATATTACATAGTATGAAGGTTTAAAGTTTGTATGAATTAGTATATTCATGCTTGGCTATGGGGATGTTGCAGGAATAAATTGATTTTTTGCACATTTAACATCTCAGGAGAAGCCTACATAGATCACAGTGTAAGCAGATGCTCTAAGCCTCATTTTTCCCTTTGAAAAAGATTCCCACGTCCCCATCTTCTACTTTGCTCTAGGCTTGGGCTCCTACCTCCCGCCCCCGGGCCTCTGGTCTTCCTCTGTTGACAAGCAGGTGTTTGCCCCTTGGCGGTATTGTCTCTTGGCCCACACGCGGGGGAGGTCCACGCCGGACCCCGGGATGTCCGAGTCTGGAGGGAACGAGGAAAGGTAAACAGTTTCTGCAGCAGAAACAGGAGGCCGGGCCACACGGCTGGAGGCCGGCGCCTGGGGTCATAAACTCGGTCCAGCCCGCACCTCCCAGCCCCTCACCCCACACAGGGCCTAGTCCACTGTTTACTGTCCTGACTTCACAGGGCAGCGAGCATCGATCCCCGAGGAATGCAAACTTGGGAGTACAACAGTCTGCTCCCGGGAAGAAGACGCACCTCAAACCACCCGCGGTGTCTCCCCAGGTCAGGCGCAGCACGTCGTGTGGGCTCGGTTCTCCGGCGCAGCCGCCGTTTCCAGGCCTGCGCGTGACATCTACACAGCCTGTCTCCAGAGTTTGGGCCCCACGTTATACAATCTCATTGGAAACGGGATGTTGGGACTGAGAGAGTTGGGGATGGGAAGGTAGGGGAGAGAACTAGACTCAGCCAATTTGTCTGAGTCCCTACTATGTGCAGAGCTTTGTATTTCCTAGTGTTGTTTAGTCACTCAGTTGTGTCCAACTCTTTGCGACCCCGTGGACTGTAGCCCACCAGGCTCCTCTGTCAGTGGGATTTCCCAGGCAACAACACTGGAGTGGGTTGCCATTTCCTTCTCCAGGGGATCTTCCCGACCCAGGGATCGAACTTGTGTCTGCTGCACCGGCAGGTGGATTCTTTACCACTGAGCCACCAGGGAAGCCCGTGTTGCCCACAGGCATCATCACAGGGATGCCGCATACTTTATTCACGTGTGTGCTGTTTCTCTCCAATCCTGATGCTAGAATGTGAGCTCCCAGGAGGCAGAGACTTGCATTTTGCTGACTGCGGTGTGTTCCCAGTACCTAGGAGTGTCTGGCACGGAGCAGGCATGTAATAAACATATGGTGAATTAATGAATGAACACCCTGTGCTGGCAGATAATAACAGAAAACAGTTACTGTTCACCCACACCGTGGGCTTCTTGCAAAGCATGTCACAAGGTTTGCCTCTTCAAGTGGGTGGGTACATGGTCACACTTTACAAGTGAGAGCACAGCTCAGAGAGGTCACGGAACTTGCAGAAAAGGCGGTACTGAAATTTGAGTTCGGCTATGCTGTCTCCTGGGTCTTTAGTTCAGGCCACACCTCCGATTTTATACTCCAGGAAAGTAAGAAAGATCAACTAGACACAGTTGCTGCTCTGCAAGCAGAGATGTGCTAATTGGACATAAAACTTGGAAACAAGTCAGAACGAGCCAGGGCAGGACTTGGTAAGAGGCCATCCCAGGGCAGCAGGCAATGATGCTGTGGGTTTGCAGAAGTGAACTCCCAATGCAGGGGGCCCAGGTTAGACCCCCTTGGTCTAACACATGCTACAGTGCAAGATCCCATGCGCCACAACGGAGACCCGGTGCAGCTAAACAAATGAATAAAAATGCCTTCCTGTTAGGACACTGTTTTCCAGGGGGCGGAAGCTCCATCACGCTAACTGAACCAGAAAGTTGCATGTCACTCCACGTGGGAGGTGGTCCACGAGCTCCTTGGTTCTCAGTGACAGTGGGGTCATACCACCCACAGTTGGGGTGTCTGCGAACCGGGGTACAATTCCTGGGGCTGCTATCAACATTTGGAGGGTGGACCTCCGGGAAGTGAAAGCCCTTAGCTTGCAGCAGACGGTTGCAGCAAAGAACTGTCCCACTCAGAATGCCAGCAGCCTTCACTAGAAACATTGCCTTAGCAGCTGGAGCACATGATGGCCTACAGGGCCCTGCGTTTCCCACGTGCAGGAACTGCACCACCGCTGACTGTGGCAAGGTGGCCGTGACATCAACATCCATCTCCTCTGGGGAGGAAGGACACTTCCCTGGGATGCTACCTCTCAGACGTCCACCTCACATCCTATATCGCTCATTCCTGAGCCTGTCTGGACAGGGAGGGGGTTCCTCCTGGATGAGACTGGTGCTGTTCTGGAGGGGAGAGGGGTTGGCCTCCCTAGGAGGGGCCGTGTGGAGGAGAGGTGAGACAGGAACACAGGGGCCCGGTGTTGGGCAGCCAGGCCCAGGCCGCTACAGAGGTCAGAGGCTGCCTTAAGGATCCTGGAAGGGGACCTGGCCTGTGGCCACTCTTGCAGGCGCCCCCCCACCCCTCCATGTGACTGAAACGTTCCTCCCAACAGCCCTCCTGTTAACCCCACTCCTCTCCCTCGCCGAGGCTCCCTGGACTCCCTGATGGGGCCGGAGCCACCTTCTTAGCATCTGCCACAGGGGCTGACTCTGTATCTACTCCCTTGACTTTCTGGTTAACTGTGGTCTCCTCCCATATAACAGAGCATCCCACGTTCCCACCAAAGAGTGGGACAGGACAGCTGGACCGGCCCGCAGGCCCTGACAGCCAGGCCTCCTTCAGTTCCCTTCCTCTTGTCCCGCCCTGGGGCGGGGGAGGGGGGGGTCAGGGGAAGGGGGAGGGTGGATTGGGGAGGTGGGGGAAGGGTTTCGGGTGGGCGGCGGGGCACCTGATGAAGCAGGAGCCCAAGAGGGTCTCCACAGCCTCAAAGTCTCCCAGAAGTCCTACCTGATCTTTAAGATAGTTTGTAGATTTTGTATTTCACTCCCTAGCATGTCAGCGTTTGGGGGTGGTGGTGGTTTAGTCGCTAAGTGTCCGACTCTTGTGATCCGTGGACTGTAGCCCACCACGCTCCTCTGTCCATGGGATTCTCCAGGCAAGAATACTGGAGTGGGTTGCCATTTCCTTCTCTAGGGGATCTTCCCAACCCAGGGATCAAA